CTACACCAAAGCCATTTATTAATTTTAGCATAATTTACCATCTGGAAAACCTGGGAATGAAAAAGTGTTATTTTCAAACCCAGAAAGTCCTGGCTCCTTTACATTCTTTTTATTAGCATTTTTCTATTTTCTTACATTTAACATAGAATGCTCTAACAGCCTACAGTACATGTGGCACCTTCAATAAATACTCTAACTGGAAATCTCTGTGGCTCAATTATCTAGACCAGTCAATACATTTTCTAGCTTCCATGTTATCACAGGTAATAGTGTTTCTAAACTTTCTGCCAGTATATCACAAGTGTATTCTTTCTTTTGGTTTCCAGTAACACTTTTATTTCTTTAGTTCCACCCTTAGAATCTTCTTAAAGCCCATCAAAATTTCATTGACAGACTTGTTGAGATTAGGTTTTCACCAACACTCTCCTCAATGTCTTTCTAGTCTCTATTAATCTTCAAATCCCAAAGTTGCTCCCTGTGGTTTTTAGGTAGTTTTGCTATGACAGCACCTTATTTCCAGGCATAAAATATGTTTCATTTATTTAATGCTATGTAACCAATTACCTTGAAATTTAGGATAATAAAACCTGTTTATTATGTTCATGGATTCTCTGAATCATGAATTTAAACAGGGAATAGAGGATGGCTTGTCTCTTCATGATGTGTGGGGCCCCAGCTAGAAGATTCATTCTGAGGAATGGAATCATCTGAAGGCTTGTTGACTCTCACAGATGCTGGTAGATAAAGGTTGTTGACTGGAAATTAAATTACACCGGACATGAGCTTCTCTGTGTGATCCTTTTGTGTAGGTGAATGTGGGCCTTTGCACAGCATAAGTGTTGTCTTCTCAGTAAGCAACCCAAAGAGAAGGAGCCAGGCGGAAGATGTATTCCTTTTGAAACCCAGTCCCAGAAGTCATACAGCATTATTTCATTCTACTCTACTGGCTGGAAAAGTCACAAACCTTTCCAGGTTCCAGGGGAGAGGAAATAGGTGACAACTCTTGATAGGGAGTTGCAGGGTTCTGGAGGGATGTGTGGAATTGAAAACATGCTGCAACCATCTTTGGAGGTTACAGTCTGCAACACTGCCTTTTACTAATGTCATTCAAACATTTTTAAGCATTAAACTGATATGTGCATATGGCAGAAATAAAAAGACCAAAAGATATTATGTAACATGAAAATAAAAGGCCCTCAGTTTTTTCCTAATCACAAGTATGCACTCTTAACTATTAGTGATTAAATCTAACCATTACTAACTTTATTGTATAGTCTGTCAAAAATGCTCTATGCATATACCAACATATACTTATTTCTATTATATTCTATTGAGTCTCTAAGTTCTAAAACCTTTTCTTATTTATCCATATTGCTAGGGTTATAAATCACAGGCTACTCTTGGAGTTTTTCTCTTGAAAGTTTTTATGAGTCTTTTTCTTCAAATCTGCCATGTGTATGGGTTGACTAAGTTAAAATATATCTGTATCTCCAACCACACACTGATGGCAGGAAGTAGAGAAGAGATTGACTGTTTCCTGGGATGGCAGAGTGGCCATTTAGGAAGAGTATATTGTCTCTTGATAAACATGAGTGAGTTTTGTTTTGTTCTCTCGTGTTTAATGTTTTTAAGAGTTTGGTAGGGCAGATAAAAACCTCACATGAGGATTTTTACTTAAGTATGATCATCTCAGGACACTTCAAGACTTAATGATTAGGGGATGGAGGGGAAATGTGTTTCAGGTTTCTGATAGATGCTATGTAGTGGAAAGAACTCTTAAGATTTTAGAGACTTTGTTTGGTCTTGGATCTTCCTTTTGAGAAGCTTTGTGACCTTGAACAAGTCTCCTTTCCTTTAAGCACTTAATTCTTTTGTGATATAAAGAGGTTGGACTTAAACTCTTCTACTAAAAGCATGGTCCATAAAACAGCAGCGTCCACATCACGTGGAAGCCTGTTGAAATCTAGAATTTCTCTGCAGAACTACTACATCTGATTCTACCTTTTAAAGTCTTCAGGTGGTTCACATTAAAGTTGGAAAAGCACTGAACTAAAGAATCTGTAAGGTCCCTTTCTATTCTAATTTTGTAGGACTGAAAGAACTTAAAGGAGAAGGGTAAGAAGGAAACACAGCAACAGTGATATTGGTAATTCATTCCTTCTGAAAAAGTCAAAGATTTTCTTTCTTTCTAATTGAAAACTAGGGTGGCAAAAATGCTGAATGATACAAGGTTGCCTGTTGTATTTCATGATCTTGTAGCCCTGTTGTAGTTTCTAGCCAGAGGCTTTTCTGCTTCACTTGCTGTTCTCATTAGTTAGCTTCTCAAGGTAGCTTTCAAGAATTCTGTTAGAAACAAGCTAGGGAAAGTAAAGTGACCTACCAACGATCATGCTTTAAGGTAGTGCGGAAAATACTAGTCATAATAGATGACAACAGTATTCCAGAGAAAGCCTCAAAAGATGTAAAAGATTTAGTTAAATAAAGCCTAGAACTGTAAGTGGTGTTTCAGGTGATTTAACACGTGGTAGAATAAATAAAAGAAAGGGAGATACTTTATTCCTCTTATAAAAACATTTTCTCCTTCCTCATTGCAGCCCAGTATGTGGACATACTAGGAGCCTATTATGGTGAATTTATTCATTCTTTGATCTTTTCAATAAATATTTATTGGGCACCTGTTAGGTGTCACACCTTGTACTGTAAAAAAAAAAAAAAAAAAAAAAACCAAAAAACAGAAACTTTATTCTTTTATTTTTAATAGTTAAGATATGATTCACATACTACTATATGATTCACATATGTAAAATATGTGAGCTTAATCATTTTCATTGTATTTGTCAACATGAGTAATCATCACCAGAGTCAATTTTAGGACACTTTCATCATCTGAAAAAGAAGTTCTATTCCATTTAGCCATCACTCTCCTGTCTCCCTTTGCCCCAGCCCTGAGCAATTACTGACTACTTTCCGTCTACAGAGATTTCTCTATTCTGGACATCATATATAAATGGAATTATGTGATATGTGGTCTTTTGTGACTGGCTTCTTTTCACTTGGCATAATATATTCAGGCTCATTCATGTTGCATGTATCATACTTCATTCCTTTCATAGACAAATAGTTTCTTTTAAATAGATGCACTGCATTTTTCTTATCCATTTATCAGTTCATGAACATTTGGGCTCTTTTCACCTTTGGTTATTATAAATAATGCTCTGATAAATATTCACATGCAAGTTTTTGTGTGGACATATATTTTCATTTCTCTTTGGTGTGTACCTAGGAGTGAAACTGCCAGGTCATACAATAATTCTATGTTTTATCACTAAACAAACAACTATCAGACTGTTTTCCAAAGCAGCAGCATGAAACTTCACTCCTAGCAAACTTAAAGAAATGGAGTTGAATTGGAGGTGGTAGTATGTGAGATATTTGACAACATGTAATCTGTCTCTCATCACCCCATCCATTTCATTTTTCCCACTTCCATCTGTATATATTTCTTAAAATATCCTTATATTTCCCTGCTGAAGGACCTACCATAGAAACTCACTGACTGGTAGCTTCATGCCCTCAAGGATGCCCTCAAGGATGTGATACTCAAGGTTCTCTATATTATGATGTAAGTAGAGCAGTTTAAACATTGTTAGCCTTATGTTCTTGAATATATAATTCATTTATTTCCACCTGAATTTCCTTTTCTCTTAAATAGATTGCCATAAAATATTGAAGTGCAGAATCTTTAATAGAGTTTCTGACATATTACAGGTAACCCATGGTAATGATTGATATCAATAAAAAATAAATGTTGTATTTCTATCTAGCTGCAAACATTTGGAAGATAAAATGTAAATATACCATTTACAATAGCATAAACAGACCATATATATTTAACAAATTTTAATTATGGATACATAATAGTTATACATATTTTTGGGTTACATGTGATATTTTGATACAAGCATACAATGTATAATGATTAAATTAGGGTAGCCATAACCTCAAGCATTTATCATTTCTTTGTGTTAGGAACATTTCAATTCCACCCTTTCAGTTATTTTGAAATATACCATAAATTGCTGTTAACTATAGTTGCCCTATTGTACCACTGAATACTAGATCTTATTCCTTCTAACTGTATTTTTGTACCCATTAACCATTCTATCTTTATGCCCCGCCCCCCGCACTGCCCAAAGAGATATAGAAACTCTCTACTAAACATTCTAACATATTCCTCAGAGATTTAAAGAAGACCTAAGTTTCTGAAGATAACATGTTAATGAAGTGGCAGATTTGATATTGTTTGATTAGACCTAATTATGCACTAAATGAAATTTGCATTTTTTGTTGAAATAGACTTTATTCTACAATTTATATGAAAATACAAGAAATATAGAATTTCCAAAGCCATCTTGAAAAAGAACAAATTCAATTGAGTTATATTACTTGATATGAAGACCTGCAGCAAGCCATAATAATCAAGAGGCAGTATTGTTTCAGCATAAGGATATACAAGCTGGCCAATGGGACAAAGCAGAGCTCAGAAATAAATCCATACATGTATAGTCAGTTAATTTCAACGAAAGCTCAAAGGCACTTCAATGGAAAGTCTTTGAACAAACAGTGCTGGGATAAATGGATAAACATGGAAATATAATGAATATTAGCCACAATTCACAATATTCACAAAATTAATGTAGATAAATTATAAACCCAATTATAAAAGCTAAAGTTGTAAAGATTTTGTGAAGAAAAAAACACAGAAGGCTATTATGATCTTAGGTTAGGCAAAATTTTATAGAGATGAAATAATAAACACTGCAAAAAAACAATAAATTGGATTTCACCAAAATAAAACAAATTCTCTGCTTATCAAAAGAAAATTAAAAGTTTAGCTACAATGTGGGAAAAATATTTGCATGTATATTCTATTATTAACTTGACCCAGAATAAGAACAAATGATTCATAAAAAGATACTGTTTTTATTTTGTTATTATTATTTTTTACAACTGAAAGAAAGTTTTGGACATTTCAAAAAAAAACGGTGAATTGCACATGAAAACTTGCCTCATATCATTAGTCATCAGAGAAATGTAAACTAAAATAAAAATAAAATATTGCACCACTTTGTTGCAGCAATAACAGATGTTGCTGAGGATGTGGAGTAAGTGGACCTCCCAGATTTTATTCAGGGGAAGTAGGTAATAGAACAGCCAGTTTGGAAAACGCCTTGATAATTTTCATGAAGTTAACCACATACCTCTGCCATGACTCAGAAATTCCATCCCTAAGTATTTACCTACGAGAAATGAAAATGTTCCTACAAGACTGGAGCATGTTTATAGCAGCTTTACTGATAGCCAAAGGCTTTACTAACAATATCCAATGTCAAGAGCACAATGGGTACGTAAATTGTGGTATATTCATATAATGGAATATTCCTCAGCTACATCAAAGTAACAAATTACTAATAACATGGAACCATATGAATGGATTTTTTTAAAAAAATGATACTGCACAAACTAGCAAGAAACGAATGAGAAAGCACTATATGATGTCCTAAGATGTGAAGGTCTAGTGCATGGTGATAGAAATCAGAACCATTGTTGTTGCCTGTGGTGAGTGAATTGACTAGAAGGGGACATGAGGTAATTTTCTAGGTGATAAAAACATTCCTCATTTTGATAGTAGTGTTGTTTACATAGATGTATATAGTTGCTAAACTCATTGTACACTGAAGATCTATGCATTTAACTTTTTGTAAATTTTGCTTGAAATAAAAAAATCTAAATTCATCCTGGGAAATTTATTAGCTTGTATACTTGACAATTGATTTACTTGCCTGCATATTGGGGTCTTTATTTCTTTAATGGATTTTACTGGATTTAAAGAGAAATATAAAGTGTTTAGTTATTTCTGGCACATTATAGGTATAGAAGGTATAGCATACTTCCAACTTGCCAAATATTTGCTGTAATCAAATAAGAATCTTGATGACTTTTGCACATTTTCATTTCATTACTTCCTCTTTGCATTTGTTTCTGGACATCTTGTAGCTTGAACCTATGAAGCTAACCATTAAAAATTAAGAGTTGCTTATGCTATCGCATGCTACTACAATCTTAAATTCTTTTATTTCTTTCAGCTTTTGTTCTTCATATTGCTTCTTATGCCTAGCTGTATGTTAGAATCAGCTGGTGACATTTTTAAAGTACACTGTTGTGTTCTCATGGCAGAGATATTCATCTAATTGATCTGGTGTGAGGAGCAGCCATTAGTATTTTTTAAAAGCTGTGCATGCATTTCAATCTGGAGTCAGAGTTAAAAACCACTGGACCAGGTGATGTTTAATGATCTTTTCAGCTCAAATGGCAAATCTGCAAGCTAAAAATATTCAACTGAAGTGTTTGGTTAAGCTACATTTTAAAACTGTTGTTGTATTGATGCTGTTGAATTACAAAGTGCTTAAGCAGAGCACAGAGGTTCCAACTAAACGCCAACACTATCCTTTCTATTGCTTCATATCCATCCCTTGTACTTATTTACTTTATTTTGAAGGCATTCAATTATCATGTCTGTGATTTTTGGTTCTAAATACATTCAATTCAGCAGCACCTATAAGGAAAGAGATCCCCCCTACCCCTTTTTAACCATTGTGATTTATTGTCATATTCTGTGAATGAAAGTTCGGATCTTAGTCATCTGGAAAGACATACAGAACTGTGAAACTAAATTTTGAATACAATCTCTCATCCTGCTTTGTTCAGTTGCAGTAAGTTGGCTACAAAATTGCCCTACACAGCTATTGTATCTACTGCTGTATCAGCAAAGTATAAGGGATCTGATATAAAACCTTCTGAAAATGCAGACAGTTTTCTTTTTTAAAGTCTGGGAGTTAAGAAACAGATGAAAGAACAACTTCACTCTTTTCTTTCCATATATAATAAGATACTCAACTGGAGTCAGGGTGGTGAGGTCACTAACTGCATTACAAATAGCCGGATCAGGTAGGCTAAATCTTATGAGAATAATAACTTTGTAGAATTCATAAAGATAGAAAAGAAGGGGATACAGGGATTGGTCCTGAAACCTCTTTCAGTTCAAAGGAGCTGGACTAATGCATTGTTTCCATGATAAATGATTTGCTATTGTCCAGTCTTCCAAATGGCTGGCAGTATAATCTATAGCCCAAAAGTCTGTATGTATTGGAAATTTTTTGTTCCTTTGTAGGGAAAAATTTAAAAAGTAAATCCCATGACAATTGAAGTAGATGATATCTCACCTTAGCCACCTTGATCCATCCAGACATGTGACATACTTCCCTCCTTAATTTTTATCAAAATTTCTATGGCATTTTATACAAAAACCTAACCCAAGTTACTTCTTAAGACTTAGCAAATAAGCACATGGAATCTTCCACAATAGTGCCTAATAAAGAAGAAAAGATAACTTAGACAGTATATGACTGAGTTGGTTAAATGCATGATTTTTGAAAGTTCCTTATGACCACCTAACATTAGGCATGTTGTGGGGAGATTTATATACTTGCCTCTTTTTGAATAGTTCTGATATTTATCACTGCTTCACAAGCATTGATTTTCATTTTTGGACAAGTTTTAGAACTTTCTACTATCAGTTGTATACTGTTCTCCAAACCCACACACACAAAAATGTCTTATTCTTCTTCAATGTGACAATTTTAAATGTTAGGTAAAACACAACTGTTTTTAATTTTCTTTTGTTGGAATAAATATTCTCAGGTTCTTCAGTCGTCTACCACATGCCATTTTTTTTTTTTTTTTTTGCCCCATCATCATGCTGGTCACCCTTCAAGTTCTAATTCCCCAAAAGACCTCCTGAAGTTCTTTTTTGGAATTTAGGACTGTCTTTCATTGTGTGATTTGACAGCCAAATGTGTGGAGAGAGATTTCTATCTACTTGTTTCTGGACAAAACTTTTATTACCCCCTTATACCCTGCTTGAAGCAGAGCAAGGAAAAAATAAATAAATGCCTGTTGTATTTAACACAGTCTTAAATTGTATTAGCATCCCCCCACCCCCACTTTGGCAGCCTCATTTTTCCTTTTCAGTTAACTCAATCTCCACAGCTGGTTAATTCTGTCACTTGAGTGTATAATTCAAATGAAGCCAGGCTGAGGGCCAAGCCCTTTCATGGACACAGTCCACAGCCCTTTTCCCTGCCAGTCACCTGCCCACAGACCCTTGGTCATGAGAGAGACTGACAAACACTTTGTTCTTCCCATTCCCTAAATGGCAAATTTTAAGCCAGAGAAAAAATAAGCTGGGTATTAGAGCTTGGGGTAATTGTTCCGGATCTTCTCAGAATGGCTCGGTGACTTTTCATAAGTTCTCTAGCAGGACTGCTAGAAGATGTTGTAAAAATTAAATTGATATAGAGCACTCTTCTTACCGCATCCATTGTTCAGTATGAAGCATCATATTCTTTTTGGAAGGTGCACACATTATTTTGTTAGTGGTCTGATAGCGCAGCTAAATATATTGAGCTTTGTTCAAGTGGTGAAATTTCAACTGTCCTTTTATTTTCTTCTCTATTGAATTCTGAGTATGGAAAATCACTTTCTTTACTGTCACAATTTCTGAACATTTATTTAAATCCCCACTGTATCATAAGCACATCAAGGAGCTTTATTGTATCCACAGTGGAGGTAAAAGAGAGTATGTCTGGAATATAAAAAATCCCTTAGGATGTCTCTTATTAATAGTATCACCCTACCCTATGGTTAAGGTCCATAGAAAATAACAGCCCAATAAAGGACTACAGATGCCACAGATCCCGTAAGAATAAAAGTTTGGGGCCTAGTGACGTGGCTCATGCCTGTAATCCCAGCACTTTGGGAGGCTGAGGTGGGCAGATCACCTGAGGTTGGGAGTTTGAGACCAGCCTTGCCAACATGATCAAACCCGGTCTCTACTAAAAATATAGAAGTTAGCTGGGTATGGTGGTCCACACCTGTAATCCTAGCTATTTTGGAGGCTGAGACAGGAGAATCACCTGAGCCCAGGAGGTGGCGTTTGCAGTGAGCCGACATCATGCCCTTGCATTCCAGCCTGGGCAACAGAGAGAGACTCCATCTCAAAAAACAAAAAGAATAAAAGTTTAGATCACTCTAGCAAATAAAAAAACAGTGAAGTACTTGCTAAAGACAAAGAAAATATAAAATAATAGAACAAGGTAATTTTTTTTTTTTTGAGACAGAGTCTCACTTTGTAACCTAGGCTGGAGTGCAGTGGCACAATCTCGGCTCACTGCAACCTTGCATCCTGGGTTCAAGCAGTTCTCCTGCCTTAGCTCCCAAGTAGCTGGGATTACAGGTGCCTGCTACCACACCTGGCTAATTTTTGTATTTTTAGTACAGACGGGGTTTCACTACGTTGGCCAGGCCGGTCTCAAACTCTTGAGCTCAGATGATCTGCCAGCCTCAGCCTCCCAAAGTGCTTGGGATTACAAGCAGAAAAAGGTAATTATTAATACCAACTATGATCATATGACCAGTTGCAGAAATGAAGACTATAATTGTTATATTTGCTCATTTTGTTAAAAATGTTTGTGTTTATATATACCTGTATTAAGCAAATATCTTTCTTATTCCCATGAAATGTAACATAAAATTTATTGACAATGTTAGCACTTAAGTGTTAGTCTTATGTAATAATATTTAAGTATTTGTGCATTTTTGCTTGTATAAAGAATAATTATGTTAGGCAGAATTATGACCTTATAATTAAGTATAATTTAAAAATATATACGGGTGCCAAGTTGACAAATAGTTGACTTTGTGATGGTTAATATGGGGTGTCAACTTGGCTGTATTGAGGGATGCCTAGATGACTAGTGAAGTCCTGTTTCTGGGTGTGGCTGTGAGTGTGTTGCCAGAGGAGGTTGACATTTGAGTCTGCAGACTTAAGAGAGGAAGACCCTCCCTCAATGCGGGTAGGCACCATCCAGTCATCTGCCAGCACGGCCAGAACAAAGCAGGGGGAAGAAGGGGCATAAGCAGCTTGCTGAGTCTTCGGGCTCTCTCTCTCTTTCCTTTGTAAAAGGAAAATAAATCTTGGAATCTCAAAATCATTAAGCCAAAGGGAAAAGTCAAGCTGGGGATTGCTGAGGGCAAATCTGCCTCCCGTTCTATTCCTAAAAAAAATAACTACTAAGATGAAAAGCTACGTACCTCCCTGACAAGGAATTTCCTTGTGGACAAGGGACAGACAGAACTCAAAGTCATCCGTCTGCTCACTGAGATAAATGCATATCTATCTGATCAGAAATGCAAAAGAATGCAACAGTTTGTCTCGTATCTACTCTATGACCTGGACGCCCCCTCCCTGCTTCAAGTTGTCCCACCTTTCTGGACTTAAAAATGTGCATCTTACACTTACTGACTGATGTCTTATGTCTCCCTAAAATGTGTAAAACCAAGCTGTGCCTGACCATCTTGGGCATATGTCATCAGGGCCTCCTGAGGCTGTGTCAGGGGTGCACAGTCCTTAAAAGAAACTTCCTAAATTGACTGAGACCTATCTCAGATATTTGAAGTTCATACCTTGCTGGATGCCTTGCTTCGTCTCCTACTGCCCTTGGACATTAGGATCCAGGCTCTTTGGCCTTAGGATTCCACAACTTGAACCAGTGGTCCCCTGGGGGACTCTCGGGCTTTCAGCCTTAGACTGAGGGCTGCACTGTCAGCTTTCCTGATTTTGAGGAGTTTTTGTCTTGAACTAAACCATATTACCAGCTTCTCTCTTTCCTCAGTTTGCAGAGGGCCTATTGTGAGACTTGTCTGTAATCATGGGAGTCAATTCTCCCTTTTAAATGTCTACACACACACACACACACACACACACACACACACACACACACATACACACACACACATGCCCCTTATTGATTCTGTCCCTCTGGAGATCTCAAGCAGAGTGGAGTTAGAAAAACAAAAACATTTCAGTTGTGAAATTCTAAACTAGAGGATAATGACCTAAAACCTGACGATGCTGAACCACTCAGGGTTATGGTAAGATGTTCTCAAACGTGAGTCCAAAATCCATTACAATGTTGCCAAGGTAATGAAGCTGTCTTTGATTCCTTCACTTCTCGCCTGTGGTATTTGGGCAAGCTCACATATATATTTAGTAGTTGCTCATCCTCTGGAACTCGGGTCAGTGTTGCAAATACTCTCAACGCATGTCTTCATTCACCTTCTTACCTGTGGCCCACTTCAGCCATCGACTATAGCAGTCCTTCTTGTGAAGCCCAAACATAGCCCAAAGTACTTTTCCATAGAGGACCACAGAAAGTCACTACTAGTCTGTGGCTAGCATAAGAATAAAATCTCATTTTAGCATAATATTTAGAGCTAGACCATCGGGGTTCAAAATCCACTTCCTCAAATAAGATTTAATTTCTCAGTGTCTCAGTTTCCTCATATGCAAGATGAAAATAATACCTACTTCATAGAGTTCTCAGGATTAAATGAGAGAATGCAAAAATCTTAGAACAGTGTCTATACATAATTAGTTCTTACTATATGGTAGTTTGCAAGTCAATCTAATTGCCCCTTTCTTTATGTAGTGCTACCTTCAGCTATGTAATTAAAAGCTTCTTTAATATGATAGCTGGATATAAGCCTTAGCAGTGATATACTTCATAGTAAGAGCTGTTCAAGTGTGTGTCTGTATGGCTGTGTCCAGGTTGATACCTATGTGCATTTAGGGAAATAAATCTAGAAGGACTGCAATATATGTTTTTATATCTTGCTCTTTCATTTAGCATTTGAATGGGGTCATTTGGTAAACATGAACACTGAAATATCCTTTCCAAAATGGGAACCAATCTGGATAATGATAATACTTAGCCATTAACCTGAAATTCTTCCATTTGTAATTCTATTTACAGAATTTCAGAAAAAAACTACCAATAGCTTTAGGAAGCAGGAGTCGGTCATGCTCTTTCTGTTGGCATTTGGTCAGGTCTTTCTGATTCACTATTTCTTGGTGACACAGCCTTTGTCTCTGTGTCTGTCTTTAAAGTATTTGTGGGCTCTTGTTTTAGACAGCTTTGCTGAGATGCCATTGTTACTCTTGTTGATATCAGAAAATATGCAGAGGTGAAAGAGTGTGAGTGTGTTGCATGATTTATGGGCACATATTTATGTGTAGGTGTGGATACATGAGTTGTATATATCGAGTTAAGGAAAGTGAGCTTATTGTGTGTATATGGGACGTATGGGTGAAGGAAATGTATAGCTATGTATCTCCGTGTATATAAGTTTGCATGTGTGCACCCGTGACAGCATAAAGAACCTCTCTTCAAGTTGATATATATTTTTTTAAACTTGGCCTGTTCAAGGTTATCCTGTGGTTTCTTTTTCCCTTTGCCACCTCCTTTTTCTACTCCTTCTCAGTCAGTTTTCTTTTCTCATCTCCACAAGTTCACTCCTTATATTGTGCTAAGACTCAACAGTTTACACCTTACCATCTTTCTCCTAGAGCTAAAGCACCATGTATTTACCCACCGAGGTTTCACAGAATGACTCCACCTAGTTTCTCAGTGGTTCCATGTAAGATTGCTCATGTTCACCCAAAACATGTATCACTTCTGGCTTTCTTGGGTCAAATATGCCTGAAACCTTGACTTTCAACTCTTCTCTGCTGCTCCTTTGCAGAGCATTTGTTGTCTCCCCGCTCCGGCTAAACAGGGCAGATATAATTATTCCCTTTTTAATGGTAAGGGTTTAGAGGGCTATGAAAGGGCGAGAATTAGACTGTGGGGTTCTTCTATAGAAGGTTGGTAGGGAAGAACTCTGCAGATCAGACATGTGGAAGGGGCTTATCAATAAAATACTCCCAGAATATCCTTTTACATTCTAGCCTTTTTCTAACCCCCAATATTGTTGAATTATTACCCAGTACAGGCCTTAGTAGTGATCTGTCATTTGATTGACTATTATTACAGGGCATGAGTGAGATGTGTATCTCTTTTTTAATTTTTAATTTTTTGTGGTACATGATAGGTGTATATATTTACGAGACATTTTGATACAGGCATGCAGTGTGTAATAATTGCATCAGAGTATTTGGGGTATCCACCCCCTCAAGCATTTATCCTTTGTGTTATAAACATTCCAATTATGCTCTTTTAGTTATTTTCAAATATACAATTATTATTAACTATAGTCATTCTGTTGTGCCATTAAATACTAGATCTTATCCATTCTATTTTTTGTACCCATTAACCATCTCCACTTCCTCTCCCTCACTCCCACTACCCTTCCTAGGATCATAACCATCATTCTACTCTCTATCGTCATGAGTTCACTTGTTTTAATTTTTAGTTCACACAAACAAATGAGAATATGTGAAGTTTCTCTTTTTGTGTCTGGCTTATTTCAATCAACACAATGACCTTCAGTTCCACCCATGTCATTATAAATGACATAATCTCATTCTTTCTTTCGGCTGAATAATACTCTGTTGTCTATATGTACCACATTTTCTTTATCCCCTTGTCTGTTGATGAATGCTTAGATTGTTTCCAAATCTTAGCTATTGTGCACAGTGCTGCATAGCATGGGAATGCAGATATCTTTTCAATATACTAATTTCCTTTCTTTTGAGTATATATACCCAGCAGAGGAATTACTGGACCACAGGGTGGCTGTATTTTTAGTTTTTTGAGGAACCTCCAAACTGTTCTTCATAGTGGTTGTACTAATTTACAATCCTACTAACAGTGTACTAGGTTCTCTCTTTTCCACATCCTCACCAGCATTTGTTATTGCCTGTCTTTTGGATAAAAGCCATTTTAACTGGGGCACGATGACATCTCACTGTACTTTTGATTCACATTTCTCTGATGACATCAATGGTATTCGGCACCTTTTCATATACCTGTTGGCCATTTGTATGTCTCTTCTTTTGAGAAATGTCTATTCAGTTTTTTTTTTTTGCACATTTTAAAATCAGATTATTAGATTTTTTTTCTATATAATTGTCCAAGCTCCTTATATATTCTGGTGATTAATCCTTTTTTAGATTAGATATCCTTTCCTTTTGGAGTGGCACTGGTAGTGAATTAA